ATCGCACCCTCACTTCTTCATTCCCCCCTCTACGGCTCTCACCACCTCCTCCTGATACTCCACTCCCCCGCCGACCCACATGCCACCACCAAACAGACCCACGCGCTCCTGCACCTCCCGTTCCCATGCCACCTTCCTCACCCTCCTCCTTCTCCTAACCGCCGGTGACATCTCCCCGAACCCTGGCCCCCATCTCCCCACTCCCCTCCCTGGCACCCCCCCTACTCACGCCAACCACCGCAACCCCCTCAATCTCATATCTGTCCCCCTCCTCCCCACATCCACACCTCCCCTCTCGGTTGCACTCCTGAACGCCCGTTCGGTTTGCAACAAGCTCACCCGTCATCCACGACTTCTTTGTCTCCCACTCCCTCAACCTCCTAGCGGTCACTGAAACCTGGATCCAAGCCACTGACTTCACCTCCCCTGCTGCCCTCTCCTATGGAGGCCTCATCTGGACCCATTCACCCAGACCGAGCGGGCGCAGAGGCGGAGGGGTCGGAATGCTCCTACCACCGCTGAGCATCTTCCAGGTCCTCCCCCCCTATCCTTCTCCTCCTTCAAGGCCCACTGCATCTGGCTCTTCTCTCCCCCCCCTAAGGATTGCGGTAATCTATCAGCCTCCTGGTTCCGCATCCCCCTTCCTAGACGACTTTGCCGCCTGGCTTCCCTTCTTCCTCTTCTCCGAGCTACTGACCATCATCCTAGGTGACTTCAATATCCCGATCAATGCCAACAGCCCGGCTACTTCCCAACTCCTCCTTCTAACCTCCTCCTTCGCGCTCTCACAGCACACTCAGTCCTCCACCCACTCCAATGGAAACACCCTGGACCTCGTTTTCTCCCACCTCTGCACCCCCCACGACTTCACTAACACCCCTTTCCCCCTCTCTGACCACCACCTCCTCACATTCTCCATCTCCCCCTCCCTCAACTCTCCCCCCCCCGAAGCATCTAACCATCACCCGCAACCTCCGCAATCTGAACCCGACCCATCTCCACCCGGCAGCTGACCGTCTGTATGACAGTATCCTCCCTCTGTCATGCCCTGACCTGGCCACTACTGCATACAATGACTCACTGTCAGCTGCCCTTGACTCCCTGGCACCCCTAACCACATGTAGCATTAGACCCTGACCGCTCCAACCCTGGCAAAACAACCACACAAAATGCCTCCAACGACGCAGTCGCGCGCTGGAGCGCTTATGGCGCAAAACCAGATCCCCTCGTGCGGTCTCCCTCTATAAAGCCGTCTACCTTGCCTACACCACCTCCCTCCACACCGCCAAGCAAGCCTATTTCATAACCCTTATCAACACCCTCTCCACCTGTCCTCGCCGGCTCTTCTCCACTTTCAAATCCCTGCTCTCTCCCCTCCCAGCACCTCACTCACCGCCCACGGGATTGCCAATCACTTCCAAAACAAGATTGACTCAATCCGTAAGGACATTGTCAACTCGCAATCCACCTCTCCACCCAGCCTCCCGCCCTCCTTCAACCCCTCAACCCTCCCCTCCCCCAACCTCATAGCCGCACTACCCCCAACTATACCTAATGCCCCGCACACCATCACCTACCCAACACTCCGCTCCTTCAGCCCAACTACCCCTGAGGAGGTCTCTAACGTCTTCACAGAAGTCCGCCTCACCACCTGCCCCCTGGACCCTATCCCCTCACAGCTCCTCCAGTCACCCCCCCTCCATCATTCGCTGCCTCACCCACATCTTCAATCTCTCCCTCTCCACCGGCACCTTCCCCTCCCCTCTAAAGCACGCACACATCACCCCCATACTCAAAAAACCCTCCCTTGACCCCACTAACCTTAACAGCCTTAGACCCATCTCCCTGCTGCCTTTCACTTCCAAGCTCCTTGAGCGCCTGGGCTATAATCGCCTAAGCGCCCACCTCACTGATAACAACCTCCTTGACCCCTACAGTCTGGCTTCCATCCCCTGCACTCCACCAAAACCGCCCTACTGAAAATCACCAACGACCTGCTAACCGCCAAAGCCAATGGCCACTATTCTATCCTCCTGATCCTCGACCTCTCCGCGGCCTTCGACACTGTTGACCACCCTCTCCTCCTTGCCAAACTGCACTCCCTTGGCATCAGGGACGCTGCTCTCTCCTGGTTCTCCTCCTACCTTTCCCAACGCTCCTTCAGCGTCACCTACAACACTGCCACCTCCCCCTCCCTCCCCCTCTCTGTCGGGGTCCCCCAAGGCTCTGTCCTCGGGCCCCTCCTCTTCTCCATCTATACCTCCTCCCTTGGCAAACTTATTCACTCCCACGGCTTCAATTACCACCTCTATGCCGACGACACCCAAATTTACCTCTCCACCCCCCACCTCACCCCCTCACTCTCCGCCCGCATCGCCCACTTCCTAAACGACATATCAGACTGGATGTTGCTCCACTCCCTCAAACTTAACCTATCCAAAACCAAGCTCTTGGTCTTCCCCCCCGTGCCCCCCCCGCCATCTTCTCCATCACTACTAACAACGCCACCATCTCTCCCACCCCACACGCCAAAGTCCTGGGTGTCACCCTGGACTCCCACCTCTCCTTCCTACCCCACATCCAACTGCTATCTAGATCTTGCAGGCTTCACCTCCGCAACATCTCCAAGATACGCACATTCCTCACCCCAGACACCACCAAACAACTCGTACACTCCCTCATCATCTCATGCCTGGACTATTGCAATTCCCTTCTTACTGGCCTACCCAAATGAACGCTATCCCCACTCCAGTCGATCCTAAACTCAGCGGCTAGACTCATCCACCTCACCAACCGCTCGACATCTGCCTTCCCCCTCTGCCAATCCCTTCATTGGCTCCTGAATGCCCAACGTATCAAATTCAAACTGCTAACTCTGACCTACAAAGCCATTCACATCGCCGCTCCAAACTACATAACCGACCTGATACCCAAATACTACCCTACCCGTGCCCTCCGCTCCTCACAGGACCTCCTACTCTCTAGCTCCCTGGTCTCCTCCTCCCACGCCCAATTGCAGGACTTCTCTAGGACTTCCCCCATCCTCTGGAACTCCCTACCCCAATCCATCAGACTGTCACCTACCCTCCTCACCTTCAGGCGCACCTTGAAAACCCTCCTCTTCAGGGAAGCCTACCCCAACCTCACCTAACACCTGACCTCACCTAACAACTAACCTCCACTCCTCCCACCACTCCATCCCCCACAGCCATTTCCTCCTGTACCACCTTCCCCTCCCTCCTAGATTGTAAGCTCGAAAGAGCAGGGCCCTCGAACCCCTCGTGTATTGTATTTTTACTGTCTTGTCTCATGTTCTGTCCCCCTTGCTACTGTACAGCGCTGAGCATACCCTTTGGCGCTATATACTGTATAATAATAATAATAATATGAGTGAATTAAAAAGAAATCATACATTTTTATTTCACTGTTACATGTTGCCCAAAGTAGTGTTTGAAGTCCAGCCTGTGTGGCAATCATAGCTCCTTCCATAGATACAGTTGAGAAGTGAGTGCAGCAACAAAGTATGTTATCCACAGAATTACCAGGGGGAAAAAAAACAAGGAAAAAAAGCCTAAAAAAGAAAACTAATGCAGCCACCATATTTATGGATTGGTAAGCTACATATTACCTTTTTGTTTTTGGGTTTAGATATGCCTTGACAAGGGTCAAGTGTCATTTTCAATATGATTTGTGTATGTATGTATTTATGTTTTTAATTATCTATTTATAGATTTTATATAGTATTTACTATTTATTATTTTATTGGTGGAACTTACCATGGGCGAGTGCTACCTGGGGTCAAGCCTGCCTGCTGCATATCGTCTGTTACAGAAGCCCAACGTATTACTGGATAGCCCACAAATTTTTCCTCAAACATCACTGTTGTTTTGTTCCAGCACTTCCAGATTGAATACATGATAATCATGGAGGGCGCCACTTATTCCTGAACTGCAGCACTACTTACAGATCATGTTATATTTTACACTTAATGCTCAAGGCTGTTCATTCAGCTTACACAAAGCCAAATGAGCCTCAATTAAATCAAATGTCAACAACATACAGTACATATACACATTACAAGGACTTCTTGTTTATAAGCCTTCCGACCCACATCTTCCTAATCTTGTGTTACAAGTGAGTTTACATTGTTTTCTTTTCCCAAGTTCCATTAATCTGTAGGTTGTGGCCCTCTTATTCACTGTAGAGTTGTTTTTGCTGATTCTATTGACTAGAGCCATATTTCTACCTCTTATAGCTCAAATGTTTCAAGGTTAGGGCATGTTCTAGTCATTACCAGTAATGAAGCTGTGATAGAATGTTTTGTTCTAAGGATACCATGACAAAAATGACCGGAAATTAAAGAATCAAGAATATACAGCAGTGTTCATAGCAACCATACTGCATGCACAAAGCAAAAAGTAGTTCAAGGTCTAAATAAATTGATGTTCTATTTCTTTAAATGATTCCTTTGTTGGCCTGTTTAAAGGGGGGGGGGGGTCTTTAAAGGGAGATTGTTGCCATCAGTTGTTCAGTATTTGTAATTGCCTTTATATTTAATTACTGAAAGAAGCAAGCAATCAAACTACAGAGCCGGTCTACCCTCAGACCCCAACCCCAGTATTACCAGTAATAGAAATTAAGGCATAAAGGCATTAGTTTGTATGGAAACAAACCACAGGTAATGCACCTATACTAAACATCTGAATGACACTAGGACAAGCAAATACAATAGTTCAAACAAAATAATATGCTTTATTTTACTTCCCCAGCACTTTTCTTCCCTATAAGTGATCTGTAGTCTTTTAATGTTATTTAGATATTTAAAATAAACCAAATAGCGTATTTTTAGCTCCATAAGACACACCTAGATTTTAGAGGTGGAAAACACAAAAAAATATATTCTGAACCAATGGACTGCAGACATAATACAGGTGATGTCCAGAGACTGCAAACATAGTACAGGAGATGACCAGGGACTGCGGATACAGTACAGGAGATGACCAGAGACTGTGGACACAGTACAGGAGATGACCAGAGACTGCTGATATACTAAAGGAGATGACCAGAGACTGCTGATATACTACAGGAGATGACCAGAGACTGTGGACATAGTACAGGAGATGACCAGAGACTGCAGACACAGTACAGAAGATGACCAGAGACTGCGGATATGCTACAAGAGATGACCAGAGACTGTGGTCATAGTACAGGAGATGACCAGAGACTGTGGTCATAGTACAGGAGATGACCAGAGACTGCGAACATAGTACAGGAGATGACCAGAGACTGCGAACATAGTACAGGAGATGACCAGAGACTGTGAACATAGTACAGGAGATGACCAGAGACTGCGAACATAGTACAGGAGATGACCAGAGACTGCGGACATAGTACAGGAGATGACCAGAGACTGCGACATAGTACAGAAGACCAGAGACTGCGGACATAGTACAGTTGACCAGAGACTGCGGACCTTTGAGGAGCAGAGGAGGGAGCCTGTACCCGAATTTGACAGGTACCCACTCCCACTTCTGTGGAGTTGTCCTTCCCCCCTCCATCCCCATAATCTTCTGGGACATGTGACAGGTCCCAGAAGATTACAGGGCCACTTCTCGTGCATTTGCAGTGGGTACCCGGCTGTAAAGCCGCAAGGTGTCACAGCCAGTTGCCCATGCCGGCGCCAGGGAGAGAAGACTGAGGACATCGCTGGACAGAGGAACAGGTAGGACTGCTGGAGGTCTGCAGAGAAGAGCCGAGCGGCCGGCCTGGTATTCTAACACGGGGGGAATATCGGGCCAGCCGCTCCATATTCACTCCATAAAACGCACAGACATTTTCCCCCATTTTTTGGGGGGAAAAAAGTGAGTCTTATGGAGCAAAAAATACGGTATATGTATATAATATATTTTGTATTTAAATATTAAATATATTGTATGTTTTACACTAAAAGCTCAAAGCTGCAGCTTACTTAAAGCCAAAAAGGCCTCAATTAAAATAAATGCCAATAACATACTGTACATACAGTACACACATCAATACAAGGACATCTTATTTATAAGCCTTCCAGCCATCGTCTTCAGTACTATAATGCACTAAATGTCTAATTTGTGTGATCACAAGGCAAACTCCAACAATGCTTCTTGTAGCTAGAGACCATGCAATATGGCTATTTCCTAGGCTTTCGGTCACATGAAAGGCAAGACAAACTATTTAACTTGAAACATTATTTTTGTGATATGGTAATGCGCCATTTGTGCTACTGAGGCATATGATTTTAAATTTAAAAACTTAAAATTGTAATATATTACAGCTTACCAGGCCTTTAGATGCTGTGTGTGCATTAATATACCTGTTGATATTGCCAGAAATGAAGTGTCCTTCCAGTGACCTTAAAATTTGTACTGATATAAATTTGCAATCTGCTCTTCCTAAGCGCTCCCTCTGAAAATACTAATTGCTTAGATGTCTCTCTCTTTGCATTCTTGGTCCTGGTCAGAAAGTAATTAGGCCATCAGTATGATAACCAGTTATCTAGCATTTTTAGAAGGAAAAGGCATATTTCCCTCCACACAGTATAGTATAGTGGTCTTGTATATTTGTTTTCCTTATAGCCATGGCTAATAAAAAATTTTTTTTCAAATATGAAAATTCATATTCATATGGTGTAATCTCGATAAAACCATAAGGTGAAGCTTTTAATATTTGTTTGATGTTCTTACCTCCTGCTGTAAGAAGCATGTTTATGCAGTTAAACAGCTCAGGCTGAAGTTTTCACACACAATGAGTCAGAGCAGTGGCTTATCCCGGTGGCCCATCCCTTATTAGACAGCTCTGTCAGAGTTTTCAATGAGTTAGACCAGTGCTCTGGGAATCCTTTGTCATCCACTTTTAAAAAATCGAATACAAAAAATCTAAAAGCATTATAGTTTATTACATTTGCGCATTGATTACAGGTAGAGTGCATCTTGACCTGTTCTTACAGCACTACTTCATCTCTTAGAGAAATTTGATATTAAAATGAATCACAACAAAATCTTATTTTACAATGTACGACTGCAACAGAGTACCCATTTACTCACCATTGTCAGATGCAGGCACAAGCCGCTTAAACTCTATTTCCCTAAACTAATTGTGGTTCCAGACATGCTTAGAGAAGATAAGTATTTCAGCTTCCCTCCCTACACCCTGGACTCCTACCTTGCTGTGTTTTGAACTGTTTTACTGAATTAATGGTTTTCAGCTAGACTGTCTGTTATTATAGAGTCTTATAGAGACTATGCTATGCAGCCACGTTACCTTGATTGAGACACAGAGGGGGAGATTTACTAAAACTGGAGTACTGAGAATCTGGTGCAGCTGTGTATGGTAGCCAATCAGATTCTAACTTCAGCTTGTTCATTTGGGCTTTGAAAATAAAACCTGGAAGCGGATTGGTTTCTATGCAGAGCTGCTCTAGATTTTGCACCATACAGTTTTAGTAAATAACCCCCAAATTCATTGCTGTGAAGAATCCGTGTTTGTACATAATCTGTTTTGTACTTAGGGATGAGTGAATGTGCCTGGGTTTAATTCACTGGTAATTCAATGAACTCGTAAATTTTGGAAGTTGCGGACGTTAACCTGAACCTCATTGAAATCATTGCGGGAGCCAATCTTGTAAATTAATTCTGGGCAAGTGTTTGTCAAACAAAGGACATGAGTAGCTGGGCACTGCCATTGGGTGACATTTACTAATGAAAGGGAAATTTAAAAATACAGTTCACTTGGGAAAGGGCCTTTGTTTTTATGCAACTTTGAAAAACACCATTGCTTTGTAATAAATGCTTGGGAGATGCCTTTAAGCTGTATGCAGTGTTTGGAAACAGTACAACTCTCATGGACAAAGTTGCTGAAGGAACTGACTCCACCAGCTGGAAAGGGAACAGCAGTAAAATCAGCAATTTTTCCAAGCCATTGAGATACTGGGCATGGGGGTGATTATGTGACAATTTTTTTTCCACTCCAGTAGCTGAGGAACAGACACCAGCCCAGTCAAGGATGCTGCTGGAAAAAGTAGGCTGAGGTTAAGAGACATATGGCAAGGTGCAAACCTATACTTGGCTCTACTCTGAATGTACCCATGCTGACTCCCTTCCCCATTTGTTGTACTGTAAAGTAAGCCTTTCAAATCCTTTGTCATACCTCCAGATTTTGTAACAGATGTAGACAGAAATTCTCCTGGAGAGGAGGGAGAGGTGCAAAAGGAGGAGGAGAGTCGGTATTTTACTGCCAAGCATTATCATTCATGTGCTGCTCCCACCGTGCTTTGTGCTGAAAAATCATGTGTCTACAACCCTTTGAACACTAAACCCCAAACCTATACAATGTGATTTTTTTTATAACATATCAGAACCTAAGAAATAGTTGGTCAGTGACTAAACAGCAACTGAAGTTGTTACCAATATACACAAAGAGGTCCTATTTGCTGTGAATACAGAGGTGAGTACACAATAATCTGAAACCCTAACACACTGCAATTCACAGATATGCATAATGATATAAAAAGGTGATTTGACTATGTAGCACACCACAATGCAATTCACAATAATAATGTAGCCCAATACAGCACTTTATTGTACTGTATATTCTGTATCACAGATTAGCAGCAATGTAAAACAGAAACTATTTTTCTCTGCAAACACTGCCAGCTGTCCCTATCTACTGCAAGTTATTGCACACACGACAAAAGGATAGGAGCCCTTACTTTTATAGGGAGGGGCTGGCACATATGAAACCCCCTGCTCATTATTGGCCTTTCTACGCCACCTGACCATAGTTCAAAGGATAAGAAGGGCAGAAATAGTAATTTGTTGCTATGGTAGCAAACAATCACACTAGTTCACAGTTTTCCTGAATGTCTAGAGTTTGGGTAAAACTCATGATATGCCGTAACCTTAAAAAGGGATAGTTCACCAAAAAAATGCCTATGCAGGTAAGGAGGCATCTCTGACTAAAGTTGAATAATGTCCTTGCTATAGGTGTAGGCCATTTACATACCTCACAAAGCCTGGCTGAAATACTCCCAGGATGTTGCCAGGACATTGCCTAGTCATTGAGGCCTAGTCATTACTGCTTACTCCCACCAACACGGAAGCGAGCTTGTTCTCTGATTCAGATCCCCTCACATGCTCTCTCTCTCCCCTGATACAGTCCTCAGCATCTGAGAGCTCTCTCCTTTGATGGAGGAGGTGAGTAGTAACATGTAGGCCTCACTTATTAACGTCCTTAGAGTATTCCAGTCAGGCTTCATGAAGTACGTAAATGGCCTACACCTATAGCAAGGGCATTATTCAGCTTTAGTCAGAGCTTCCCAGTTTGTTTTTATCTATAGGACCCTTACTTGCATAGGCAGTTCTTTGGTGAAAGTGAACTGTCCCTTTCAGCTCATCCATATTTGCATTGTTCTGCAGTGTATGCATGCCCTTTGCCATCCTGAAACTATTTTGCATTATTGATTCTAAGTTTACACCCATTTAGTACTCTGCAAGTTATAGTGTGAAGCAAGAAACAAAGCTGAATCCAGCCAGGGGTAATATTGCATCAATATTGCATCATTAAGGTATTCCCTTACCTTGTTCATAAACACTTTGTATTTTATTTTAAAAGTTCTTTCTTCTCCTTTTTGTGTCCCCCAAACATACCCCATAGCTGCTGTTTCTTTGCCTTGTCCTGTTTGTATGACCAGATGCTGCTGTTTCAACCATATGGAGAAATGGGTCCCAGTCACATAATCTCCCCCATTAGATTTTAAAATTAGGCATTGACGTAGTTATGTCACGCTTCTTTTTGTGAGCAGGTCCCATGTCTACCCATTGACAGCTATTGATTGGCTAGATATGTACGCAGTTACCTGTATTACTGGAACAACCCAAAGCAAGCTACCTGCTCACCCAGCACATCATTAATTCCCATGGAATCATAATTTATAGTAACTCCTTGGAAACATGTTGGAAGTGACGTGTGCTGCCTGATTTGACCCTCTCCTCTCGATGCCCAAGCACACAAAACTTTACAGAGACAAGTGATGATGTCACAAGATAGAAACAAGTTCATACGGCAAAAATGTTAAAACAAAAATGCTTTTTTTCACAACTAATTTTCCTCTGTACTGGCTTTCCATAATAACCAATGCAATCACATAGTTTGTATGAAAGGTTTGGTGCTGTATACTGTTTTAGTGATTAAAAAAATACATATATATTAGAAGTCTATACATCAGACAAATACAGTGACTACTAAAGAAGAGAGTGAGGCAGATGGATTTGGTTCCAATATAAAAACAGTTGGGAACGTTATTTTTGTTTGTGGAATTCTTTGTGTACAAGTGGAGTAAATTGTCATTAGTGTAGATATCCCTACACTCAAATAAGTATAGGCTTGCATTTCCCTATGGAAATATACAAAAGTTAAAGTGGTACTAAACTCATACAAAAATGTGGCTGCATTCGTTTTGTTGTTTAGACTTTTTTTTCACCTGGTGATCTGGCTGTGATACACTTCATGTGCAGAGAAGGTAGTCCTAGACTTTCAGGTTTAGATGGACTTCACTAACAAATTAAAGCTGAACTCCAGCTAACACTTTGTAACCTCTTGGCGCTCGTGCCTCCTGGCCCTTTAAGAGTTTCAGAAGCCGGGGGCAGGGTTTTAGGGTCATGTGACTGCTGTGATTCGCAGTCACATGATTGGAAAAGGTCCCGATCCAAAGGGGAGATCGGGACCTTTCCGGGAGTCATGAACATATGTGCTGGGAGTGCGCAGGGCATGCACTCTCAGCACATGTGTATTTTCTAATTGCACACAAATATGCGGCCACTCGGCGTCAAGGCCCAGACGCTGAGAGGCCGCATATTTGCGTGCGATCGGCGTCAAGGGGTTAAGCAGTTACAGCAACAGTTTTTTTTTTCCATTCTGGGTTAAAGGTTTTACATACATGAGTAAAAGCTGACCATTGTAAGCGCACCATTCAGTGTTAAATGATTTGTCTCAACCCTCCACTTTTTCTTGTCAACTTGGTCTGTTAAAGGAAGACGAAATATTACAGACTTACTGGCCAGATCACCAAGTGAAAATAAAAGAAGAAACAAAAATTAAAAAAAGGAAATCAATGTAGCCATACCACCTAATAATTATTAAGCTGCACTATATTACATTTTTGCTTTTGGGTTTAGCACTGCTTTATTAATCCCCCATTGGGTGAACGGAGCATAATGTCATCAGTCAGGGAATGGCAGCCATATATAAAATTGTTAATTTCACTGTTTTCCAATATTACATAAATCAAAAATATAGTCACATTATGAGCAACACATTACAATGGTGTTACTTGATTCATTAAAGCATATGGCATGCATGTAGCTGTGCTTATATGCCTGCAGTCTTTTTCCTAAATCCCAAAAAAAGACATACAAAAGCCCCAAAAATTGTTAGATTGCTGATGGTGACCTAATTATTATTAAAAGCCACCTTCCTCTTGTCCTAAATAATCAGGATCAGCGCAAGGTGTGTTATCTAACAACAGATTATGGAAAATTGTCTGTAAGGAAAAAGATGATAACACATTCCTAAGTATTCATAAGCAGGTCAACCTGTCTTTGACTGCCTTTCAAAGCACATTATCCTAATACATGGTATGGCTGATTTTAATTTGCTAAGATCAAAAAGAGTACAGACAAGAAGTGTCTTTAAATGGCATCATGTAATTGTAGTATGAATGAGAGCAGACATTCAATGAGCATGTGCAGCCAGTACATGCTCTTATATTTAAAGGGAGGCTGCATCTCTGCCTCCTGGCAGCAGCACATGAAAGCAGTTATCTGCAGCTGCACAGATAAACAATCTCCATCTCTGATTCAGAAAGAGCAGATCATTGTCAGAACTACCAAATAGTCAACAGACCCTGAAAATTAACTTAACCAAGGATGAATTCTTTGTCTGTTAGAAAGGGCATCACTTGCCCTTCTCAAGATGCTAACTGCACTAGGATTCTGGAGTCCCTGAACACCTGGAATAGTTCAGAAGTAAGCTCATACAAACTTGTGGAACTACCACCAGTCTTCACCACTATGGTAAGTTTTAGCCTACCTATGACATAATGTACAAATCTCTAGGACAAGGTTAGGAAGCTTTATCTTAGGTACATGAATGTAATATTCAGATCACACTGGACCCACCTGAAAATAACTGTCACTTAAAAAAATATAAAGAGCTATAACCTGATATATTTTCTTTATGAATTGAACCTCAGTCATGTTATCTCATGTAACTCTAACATATATTTATAGCAAAAGAAATGCATATAAAAAAACTTGTATGTGAATTTTCAACATTACAAATAACTAAATAATTTTAAATCAATTTTTGCTTATATTTTTATTGCCATTGTTTCTACTTTTATATGTGCGTGATTGGCTTGGTGCTTTTTTTTTATTAGTGATACAAAGGATGGATATTTAAAAAAATGCCTACAGGTTAAAAAATGCCAATTTATGGGCACCATGTTTTGTGTTTTTTTTTATTACTTGTTTCTGATCGAAACTGCTTAATTTTAAATAGAGTATCTGTTTTGTCAAGTTCACTAATTTTAGAAATGTATCCCATTAGGCTTTATTTAATGATATAAAGACAATGAAAGTTGTGTGACTGCCCGAGGACCCCAGGCACTGCTTAAAATTAAATATTTCCTATTTAGTATACTGTTAAATTGTACTCTGGTCATACTACTTGTCTTGTAAAATAAGAAAACATTTTGTAGAAAAAAAAAAAAGAACACTTAGTAATAACTGTACGAGTATAAGAAAAAATGTAAAGAAAATATGTTCATGCTTTTAAGATAAAGTTAAATATGACTTTCCTTCTATTTCCATTTTTAAGCTATTTTAATACATAGATAAAGCATATCTTACAAACTACCAAGTGATATGTATTGCACATTAAACCATTCATTTTCCATTACACGTATATAGGTTAGGCAATTCCATGAAAAAAAAAAGTAGTTGTCATTTGTCTTGACGTCAAATGTGTGCATTGGAGGTTGAAACCTGTGAAGATCGATGCAGGTGCTAAGTGGTTTAAAAGAGCAAATTCAAGGGTAAAATAAGAGTGTGTGCGGGTTAAAGTGGAATAACAGGCAAACACACAATAAAAGGAATACCCAAGGAATAACACAGCTACTTTATATTACTGGATTTTTTTGTGTAAAGTATTTTTTTGGAAAAGTTTCCAATCAAATTGTGGCCTACTGTAACTAGAAAGGTCTTCTACCGACATAAATTTCAGAACCATGCTGTTGGATGGAATGTCACTGAATACTCTGCGATCTTCAAATGCTACACCACTAAAGAGGTGACAGAACTTGTTTTCAATGGCAAGCATCCATTCCTTGACTGGCAGCAGTGACTTCTGAAAAGATGAGATAGAAGGGGTGAAGTACTGTATGTGCTGCTAATGGACATGGAGAGTCCACTCCTCAACTGGTTTTGTTGATGTACTTTTAGTGGTAGGCAAAGACCTGTAAGTGTATCCCAATGTTAACCAGATGTTGAAGGCTGTTAGCTGGGGTTAAGTATAAGAGGTGTACTCTCCAAGCGTTTAGGATTAGCGTAAGGCAACTTATACAGAGGCAACACTGTGATTGTGTGAGACACGTTTTACAGAGTGGGCCCTATTCTTGTGTAAGACACCTTATACAGAGGGGTACTATGCTTGTGTGAGACACGTTTTACAGAGTGGGCCCTATTCTTGTGTAAGACACCTTATACAGAGGGGTACTATGCTTGTGTGAGACACCTTATACAGAGGGGGGCCTTATGCTTGTGTGAGACACTTTATACAGAGGGACACTATGCTTGTGTGAGACATCTTATAAAGAGAGGGCTTTATTCTTATGTGAGACACTTTATACAGAGGGATATTATGGGGTTGATTTACTCAAGGTAAATAGACTGGGCACTTTACAAAGTTGCTGCAGAGCTTAATAATTGAGGCAAATCTTTACTGTGCAAAGAATACCTAATTACGTGCAAATATAAAAAGCAACATTTTTGCTTGCATATGACTGGATTATGAAAGTCATCAGATCATTTTTGCGTGCATATGCTTGGATGATGGAAGTCATAGGTGCTTCTGCTCATTTACTAAACTCTGGAGCAACTACTCTTGCAGAGTGCAACTGCCCAATTACAGTCCATTTTCCTTTGGTAAATTAACCCCTATGCTTGTGTGAGGCACCTTATATAGGGGGGCACTATACTTGTATGAGGTACTTTATACAGAGGGGACACTGTGCTTGTGAACTAAACAATTCATATAACATTTACAAAGTTTTAAAAAAGAGATAAGAAGCAGAAGGTTTCAACCTTCTGTAGTGGGTCAGGTTGCAAGGTTAATGATACGAATGAACAGTTAATTTAAAGGTTCAACTATGGGGAAAGGAAAATGCTCCCTTGCAGTAGATCTGCCTACTTACTGCAAGGGTTTAATTCTTGTTTAAATCTAGGGGACCACAAAAAGCAGTGTTACTTTCCCAATCCTCCACTTCTGACTGTTCATGTCAGCCTCCAATCCCCTATGCTCCCATTATAGAATGTCCTGGACTGATGTAGGGCTCATAGCTCTGCATTGGAAAGGAGGATGCCAAAGAATAATACACTGCAGGAGCATAGGGACACACCATATGCTGTTGGAGGATCGGCAAAAAAAACTGCTCTTCCTTTCCGCAGACCTAAACAAGCATTTAACTCTTGCAGTGTGGAGGCAGTTCACTGCAAGGGAGAATTTTTCTTTTTCCCACGGTTGGGCTTTAAAAAAGACTGCAGAGCTCACATAGGACTAACTCATAAAACACTTACAAATACATAGATTGTAACTGACTGTTGAAGGTTAGGACCTTAATACAACAGTAGTCAAATGACAATTCTCTTTTCATTAGATAAATACATACATTGTAATTGGGATAATAGGTCAAAGTTGATTTTTGTTAATCTAAGTTTGCTATATATATATATATATATATATATATATATATATATATATATACATACATACATACACTGTATGTTCCAGCTTTAGTGTTCTCATAAATTAGAGTAGTATCAGTTTGTAGATGCCATGGTAGATGGTCATACATGGGCTACTTTCTGAAAGCAACTTTATTTGGAATCCATTTGGGCTGTTAAAGAGTTGCTAAGCTAGAGACTGCGGGCAAATACAAGCAACAATAATCTGGGAAACCTCGAAATGATTTCAAGATAGTTCCTAATACTCTTAAAGAGCACTACACTTTTCTGCATGTGCAATAATGCAAATAAGCTGTCCGCAAAAATAATGAAAAAATAGCACAAAATGAATGAAAAGTGAAAATACCACTACTAAATTATGTATGATGTATTCAGAAGGTTACCAGATAGCAATGTCTGCTAAAGACTGAGATGATCACTGAGGGTGATAAAGAAACAGAGGTAGCTGCGGTTACATTTTCAAGTGAGTTTCCACTCCTAGGGGTCCATAGAACATCATTTACCATATTCAAATGACCTCTCTATTACCATCACAAATGTACAGCCAAATCACTTCTAAATGAGATAGGTCATAGTGTGCAAGCTGGAGGTATTATCAGAGTACTGTAGAAGAGGTGCTAAGACCATTGTGGGTTTTAATCTCAGAAAGAAATAGGGCGCCCATTGGGTTGGGAAAGCTCAGGAGCCTGTACCTTAAATAAATGCACTTTTCTTTTTTAATTTGTTTTTTAGACAAACCAGGAGTACATTCATATAAATATGTAGCAGAAAAAAAATGTGATCAATAAGGGATAGAATATGGCATAGCATTTAACCATACAGAGGATTCTTTTTCTTTAATGTCAGCATATGTATATTGCTATTGTACATTCAAAGAGTGGAATGTATCTCTCCTGAGATCCAGGTTTGTAGCATATACAAAAAAGGTGCACAATGAGGCATAATTTTGCCATAGTAATGCCAAGTATATTGCTATAGCAGTTCCTATTCTTCAGAGCTCTAAGTGTATTGGTGCATGAAACTGTAAGCTGAATTTTTCAAATGGTTTATTGGAGAATAAGGATGAGATTTGTGTTTGTAGCCACCATAGGTCCGAGGCAAATCCTGCCTGTAAATCTGAGACAGAGAGCACTTGATGGAGGTGGTAACTAGACAAATATTTTTGAACACAGTGAGTGCTCTGCAAAAAGTAGGGTGGTAAGGGATAGAAATATGAAATATCTAACCTGCATTGCCCTCTAATAGCTAACGGAGGGCTCCAGAAATTATTGAATCTCCTGAAAAGTGGCCAATCCTCCAGAGGATATAAAGTTCCGTACACAAAATGTATGAACTTCTAGGAGCTCCTTTAAATCTGTTTGAGACCTGTGAGAAATTCTGGGTCTCTCATAATTAGAGTTAAAGGAGTGGGATACTGCGAAATGGTAAATAGCTGTATTATTGCATTTGTAAGGTTATCCTCAGAGTGAGGTAGCATCCAGTAGATTTCAGTAAAGTAGTTTTGAGCCATGCTATTTCTGTAGGGACATGCATATCTCATCCTGTTCTATTTGTATCTATGCTTTTGATGTAAGTTATTAATGTTGCTCAGGAGAGGAATAAAATTGGCCTGGTAAAAGGTATTTGAGGTTGGCTTGGATGTACGTGACAAGACATTTGAGTGGAGTAGACATCCATTTGAATGGAAGCTGCTTTTGAGATTCAGAGCATGATTATGTGGAAATATGTTAACCACTTTTTTTTTTAGAAATTCATTTTTAAGTTGAAAACTTCCAGTATTTCTGGAACTCTGTAAGAAGATTGAGAAGTGGGGATTTAAGATAGATGCTTGATATTAGGTTTGATTATAGGCAGCAGTTTTATGGTTCTCTGAATTTTAGCAAATACCTATAATATTCTGGTTATTTCTGATCGCGCATAAGAACAATCCTAGTGTGAGATTGAATAGTACAGGTGATAGTAGGCATCCTAGGTGAGTCAGAAACTATGATTTAGAGTGTGTGGACCCACTTTTATTTAAAAATAAAGCAAAGTCCGTACATCAGTTTTTCCCACAAAGGTGTCTTCAC